CGTGATTCATATCAGACGAGGGATGTATCGTAAAAGGAAAAACGTGGAATAAAGGAAAATAACATTGTTTATCATTTTTTTCTTCGAAATTACATTTGTCATTCCTTGTGTCTACATGAAAACTCGATATAATCACCATATGTTACAAAACTATTTTGTTTATATTAGTAGGTGGATAATATTCATGGATAGGAGAACATACGCTACCTGTATCTGTGATTTCCTGTTTATTCGCACACACACGTTTAAATCTGTGCTTGTAACTGTGACTTCCTTTATCCACATGGTGTCTCAAAATTCTCCTCTTACACTTCCCTATGATTAAGACGAAAAAAAAGCGACCATGGGGGTCCTAATCAACACATATTTTTCATTAAAAATATCCCTTATTTTAAAAATCCTTTGGTGCTTGATGAATCGGATTTTTTTGCATACTTGAATCTATATTTGTTTATCTATTTATATGTTGTGATTCTCTGGAACTCATGGTTCTGTTTGCTCTTTGTGTCATGCATTCTGCTGGTGATAAATGTGTGTGTTTTCTCTTTCCTTGCTGTGTTTTGAAATGCATGTTTTTAAATATACGTTTAGGCCTTTGAATTACTAAATATTTAACTATGCCTCCATCTGTTTTTCTGTGTACAATATTTGTCTCTATTTTTTTATCAGTCTTCTGTATATAGTATATATATGTAATATATGTATGTATGTATGTATCTATCTATATCTCTCTCTTTCTCTCTCTCTCTCTCTGCACATATATGTATATATATATATATATATATATATATATATATATATATATATATATATATATGTATGTATATATGTATATATATATATATATATATATATATATATATATATATATATATATATATATACATATATATATATATATATATATATATATATATATATATATATATATATATATGTATATATATGTATATATATATATATATATATATATATATATATATATATATATATATATATATATACATATATATATATATATATATATATATATATATATATATATATATATATATATATATATATATATATTGTGTGTGTGTGTGCATGAATACGTTTGCAAGTACAATGCAGGAGCAGAAGCATCCGTAGCAGGCAGATATCCAGTAAGAACTGAACCAAGTCGCAGAAGGGGAGCCGAGGTCGTATAATCCAGGGAAAGCTTCACCAACAAAAAATGAGGGAAGGTCGTCCATGCACACCGGACACTCAAGATCCGACGAGTCACTTCCTTCATGAAAGGTATACTAACACATTGACGATTTATAAGTCAATCTAGACATTCCCACTGAGGTATCTTCTGCCACCCAATTGCAGCAAAAAATAGATTCCCTCTCGTATATAACAGGAACTTTATATTCAACTATTCACGCACGTGCGCGCGCGCGACTGTGTACGTGTCAAGTACTAGGGAAAGGTATAACAAAAAGCAACAGGGTACAAGCCGATATTAGGAAGGTTCCAAATGAGCGCTTTGGGTTTGAGAACATACGCTCCACCTTCGCCTAATCTACGAAAAAAGGGAGGATAACAAATATCAGTAAAATTTCCAATAACCATATATTCCTTATCGCAAATTCTGTTGGACAATGACCTGCTCATCTATAATGTGTCAATGGAGTTGGAAAGGTGGACTGGGAAAATTTTCCTGTAGTCTTCCTTTCCAGTGAGCGATATCTTTAAGATTTCCCCCAAATCAATTAGGGCTATTCACGAACCAAAGAGAAAATAAATCGCCAACATATCCAGTCTCAACCGAGCAGGTTATATGGAAGAATTAATATATTAATAAACAAACCACATCGCAAAAAACGCAGAAAATTTCCATTCTAAGAAGTTCATTACCAACAATAACATCAGTATAAAAAAAAAGTCAGTCTCGGAAGAAATCGCGGCAAATTGACGTCATGCTCGGTGAAGTCCATGGAAAGATTGGTGTGTGCGTTAGAGGAGTGATAACCTACTGGCTTCTTACTGGGCAAGTGACCGAGACCTGTGAGATAAAGGGGAATGGCAGTCTCTATCACATATAACCATAGGTTACATGTGATAGGGATAATTATAGCAATGAAGCTATCAAAAAGAAGACGAAGACGACGAAGAAGAAAATAAGGAGGAAAAGGAAATATTTACATAATTAAAATAAAGATAAATTAATAGATTGATTAGTATATCAATGAATTTTATACATCCATCCATACAGAAACACACACACAGACATACATATATACATATACATATATATATATATATATATATATATATATATATATATATATATATATATAAATATATATATGTATATGCATATATATACATATATACTTATTTATCTATCTATCTAGATGTCTACATCGGTGTGTATTTGTGTATGTGTGTGTGTGTGTGTGTGTGTGTGTGTGTGTGTGTCTCTGTGTGTGTGTGTGTGTGCGTGTATAAATACGTTTACATGCACCTTGCTGGAACAGAAGCATACGTAAGATTATTACCATCACATCACCCTTATTATCATTGGTATTATTGTCATCGGCATTGAATATTTATTAGGTATCCACGTTAGTAAATTAATTAACATTATTATACCAATATTATCTATATCTATATTTTTTGTTGTTTTTAGTATAATCATTGTTTTTGGACTATTTTTATTAACGTTAATATCACATTCATTGTTATTGTCATTATTCTTATTATTTTTTCTATTATCATTACTATCATTAACTTTATTACCATTCTTATTCTCATAATCATTATTGTTACTTTTAAAATTATTTTTCTCATTATTATTATTATTATCATCATTACTATTATCATTATTATTAGTAGTAGTATCATTATTATTACTATTACCATTATATCATCATTCATGCCAGTCGCCTTCATAATATTATCATTATTATCATCATTATCATTACTATTATCCTCATTGTCATCCTTATTATTGCTATAATCATCGACATATTTATACTAATTATCAGAACTTTATTATTTCTCAACTTTATTATTACTTTCACCATTACCATTATCATGGTCACCATTTTTGTCAGTAGCATGACGATAATGATGATGATAGTGAATTAGGTAATGATTATGATTACAATGATGATGATGATGGTAATTAAGGAATATGACGATTATTAGCATAATAATGCTAATGTTACTAAATTATGGATATGATCATTAACATAATGATACTAATGTTAATAATACTTATATACTGATTGTGATGATAACAACAATAGTAATAATAAAATATTTGTTGGAAAAATAACAACTATTATAACTATGACGATAAAAATGTTAGCAAAAAACAATAATAAGTATACCAAATCTTAGAGTAAAATCTCACATTGTTGAATTAAAAGCCAAATGCGAGAATTTACGATCATAATTCAAATTTGCAAAGCCTTGCTGATGGTCAAATCTCCAAACAAGACAAGAGAGTTTCCAAATTTTGTATGTATTTAAAAACTATTGCAAGGAACAGGCAGGAAACATAACAGGTGGCTGCAACATGGAATGCTTCTTGGAATCTGCAACTCTGATCAGTTATTTTATATTTATGGCAAATGCAAAGTGGATCTATGGAGCATTGAAGATTAACAAAATAGTGCAAACAGATTCGCAAATATGCAGATGATTTAACCATTGAATCGTTAGCTTTGAATATCAGAAAAGAGACGATGCAAACTACGATACATTTGTTTTACAAATACTAAGTCTTTTCTGAATAAATAAAATCAGGAACTGATTTTTACATAGACACTAAATGATACATATTAAATCATTATGTAGGTAAATAAATTCAAATGATTCATTGCTTTAATTATATAAACATTTCATTTGTAAACATTTAATTCATTGGTAACAATTTTTTTCCAAAAGCTTTTGATTACAGTAAAAAATGTTTTCTGTGTGAATCAAGGCAATTCAAGGGAGCTGAGCAACGTCGATGGTGAAGCTGCTACTGAAGTTTAAGCGTAGAGAAACAAACAGAAAAAATATATAAAAAACGAAGTAAATAAAGCCATAAGGAAAGAAACACATTTTAACGCAAATTGACATGTTCGCACTCCGTGACTGTATGCACGTCTGTGCTGTGACCTCGAATCAGTCCTTTTGAATAGTGCTCTCATTTTACGTAAAGGGGCGTTGTGTGATACAAATCAATATAAAATGGGTTATACTACTATTTTTTTTTAAATTATGTAATCAACTTCGGAAGTCTAACTCAAGAACAATGATTCTATATCGAAATTTGTGCTTCCCTTGATAATTTTCGGGACCTGAGACCTACTGGGGCCCTGTTGTTGCTGAGATAAGATGGCCAAACAAAAAAAAAGTAGATCAGTTTTGTCTATGGCAACAAAGTTACTCGTGAACGGAAAGTACCACTGGCAAAATGCCGGACTTTGATATCGCTAGAACGCATGAACATTGTCCCACTAGAACGTATCCCGTTACATATCGTTGTTTTTATCATTTGACAACGGTCATTTCTCATTTTAATTTTCATTCACAGCAATATCTAAATATTTATGTTTTGGTCTGATTGCAGTCATACCCATGAATTTGATCTCAAATTGTTCATTGGATGCTATTAAAGAAAAGGAAGTCTCTTAAAAACTAAAGCACAAGGTTTTCCTTTTGACCGAAAGTCAGAGAAAAAATCTTCAATCGTTTAAATATACCTGTAAACTGTATCCTTTGCGACCGGGTATTTCACCTCTGTTATTACAAACTAAAGCCTTTCCTCTGTTCTTTCAATCCCTTACAGTCAGTAACCACAACCACAGGTGAATACCGGGATAAAATGAAAGAAAAACTCTCTAAATGAAATCTACCGCCCTCTTTTAGCAACCTCCAAACCTCTGAACGAAATCCCTCCCTGCTACAGACATCTCGCAACTTGGCCCGACCACGGGAGTAAAAGCAAAGGCCACCGCTAGCTCGGTCTCATTTCCCCTTAGCTTAAACCGGAGAGCGAGTACAAACCCGGGACGCGAAGACAGTGACACGCCGCCAACTGTAGCCCTGTAACGAGGGGTAACTTCTTTAGAGACACGAGTGGCACTTGATGTGAGTGACTTGTTGGCACTTCACGTTGTGTTTGTGAGTCTTTTGGTGGTCAGTTGATGTTAGCATTGTGATTAATGATAGTTATAATGCCGTAATTGTGTTAATACCTTCTAGTATGTGGGATATATATATTTTTCGTCTTGTTTGAAATTAACTGGATATAGCCTACATCTGCGCCAGGAGAGTATAAATAGAAATAAGATAGAGGACAAAGGTTGAGCCAGTGGAAAATCTGGGACACTGAGAAATCAATTCAATGACTGAAAAGTTTCCCCTTGGAAATCCATTTAAGACTCGGAAAAAAATAAACGAGGAAAAGAAAATACTAAAAACAACGGTGTACATTATATACTACATTTTTTCGATTTTAACACATTAATATATACTATTTACGGATATCATTCTTTTATAAAATAGTTCCCCGTTTGTATGTGTAGAGATTTATACAGCATATATATACGTATTTTTCAAAGGATTACACAGCTACTCTAGGTTTCCTGCTCCGTCGCCAACTGC